GCAATAAAACACATTTTGCTAAGTCCCCCCAATTACTGTAATTACTCGAGTTTGCTCTGCTGAATAGGGGAGCTTTGCAATTTGAGCCGCGCCTGTTCAATCTCCATCTTCGGGCACAGCCTAAACTGTACTCAGCCTAAGACGTCAGCTCAGTTCGTTTGCCGTAGCCGCAGATCTAACTACTGTAGCGATGGCAATGTTCGTAAGGTACTTGCCTTCTCCTTGCCTAGCCTTCTCTTATCGCTAGTGCTTCTTCGCTTGTCAACCTTAACTCCTTCTTTGATGTTGATGACTTGTATGACTGCTGTTTGTAGTCACACATCAACGTGCCTGGACCCAATCCTGTCCTAAACGACGCCAAACCTGATTGTGATTCTGTGTTGTTTCTCCCAGCTTTTGGGAGATGGGCCCTGCAAGAAAACAAATCCGGGCCGTACCAGAAGAAAATATGCCTCACAAACGTGATAGCAATCATGCTGGCAGCGACAGTAGGGTTTAGGCTTACGCATGCCCTGCGAAGTGAGGGTTCAGGCCGACATCGAACCTGACACCCTAAGGTGCAGTCGACTCCCGGTTGGCCCCAAGCAACTACCTGGACTCGAAAACACCTCAATTTTGGGCGCTCCTAGTTTTCATTTTCAGATATGAGGCCTGAAAAAGCCTGGTTTCGGGTTTATGGCAGGTGTCTAAAGATAAGTGCGAAACCTAGGCAAAAATTACCCTCAACATCTCACGCAATCCTAGAACCTAAACCAATAAAGGGAACTCCAGAAAGTTGGAATATGGTTTCAGGGTAGGATACATTATAGTTTACCATAAAGGGCTTAGGATAATCATAGTCCAACTTTCTGGCTTTTACTTTAAACCCTAAACCCCTAAACCAAACCTTCACCAATAAACCCTAAACCCCCTAAACCCCTAAAACCCCCTAAAACCCCTCAGCCCCCTTAAACCCCGAAGCGCGACTACTCTATGTACACAATCGCTCTCTGCACCAGACACTTCTTCAAACTATTTCCACGAAGCACCATCATTTCCGATCGACTAGACCTTAAAGGCATCGTCCTACGACCCCACTTGGAGGGTCGGGGGACGTAGCAAGTAGGGGCGCCTTGCTCCGAGCTTGCTTCTCCTAAATGGAAGAGAATTCTTTTTTAGATCGTGAGCATAAGTATTTCAACGACTAGGACTCAAGATATTCATGATATGCAAAAAAAAGAAAAAAAAAAAAAAAAAAAAAAAAAAAACATAGAGAGAAAAATTAATAAGATGATATATTAAATTTCGAAGAAATCGGAATATTCTATATATATATATATATATTCATCATCATCTTCATATGATTTAATTTAAATAGAATAACCCGGAATCATAGGTTTAGATCGTAGAAATCATTATTTCTATAATAAGTCATCACGCGATCAGAATCATATTATTTCATATTATCAAATGAATCTACCTTTTATGCGAGATATAAGAATCAAGAATCAATCAGACGACGTATCATTTCATTATTCAAAGATATATCTCCTTTCGAATCTTTCTCATATCTTTAATCTTCTTTTCTCTTTTATCCCTCTCTCTTTTCTTCTTTTTCTTTTCTTCCTCATCTATTTCTCCTCATCTTGATCCTCCCCCCGCTTTCCATCTTTATTATCTTTCTCATCTTCTGTTTCTCCTTTATTTTCTTTTCTTTGTATTCTCTCTCTTCTCTCTTCTCTTTCTAATCCTCTGCTTCTCTTCTATCTAATAAGAAATATCCAGAGTCCTACCAAACTAGACAATATCCAAAATTCTTTATTTGCCATCAAATCCAATAAGAGAATAAATTCCTAAATATAGAAATAACAATTTGTAATCTTCTCTTCCTTATTACCTCTTCTTTTTCGTCAAATAGAACCCGAAATCCTGACAATCCCGGCGTGTACGGATTCAGGGCCCGGGATAAATATTGTTTGTTTGGCTTGTTAGCTTTCTAGCCCACAATGTCCGGTCCGTTCTGAAAACAAAGGGTGGAGCAGACTTTGTGGGTTTAGAGTGGAGGGGTAGGAGCTTCGAAGCACACATGTAGGCGTGCCCAAGCCCCGGCCTTACATGATAGAGGGCAAACATGTCTAAGCATGGTATCACTGGTGGTAAAGCCTAGAACACTCCTCCAGTCTCCCGTGAACACCGGTACAACCCCAAACCCGATGCCCCGATCCAACTTATAAAAAGCCCTCAAGCTCAAATTCTGCCACCCTCCAAGTACATTAGTTTAGGGAGGGCTGCTTGGAAATACCTCATCCAAAGCCGGAAGAACTACTTCCAATATTAGTTACTGTTCCGATTGTAATTATATAGTATGAAAACCCACAGCTCTATTCTAACTATTAGGCCCCTGAGCCTCAAAGAACCCTTTAAGAAACCCCCGAAAGAGTTCATGTCCCTATGTTAGTGGCTTCACCAGCTTTTTTCATCTAGCGAAGGTCCTTGGTCCTCATGCACTTCACCACGGCATGTGCGCGGAAGAAGTGCAAGCTCAAGGCCTGCGCAATGTGCTTAGGGCTTATGTTGTAGGGTTTAGGACTCTGGGTTTAGGGCGTAGCGGCCGTAGCATGGAACGTGATAGATGGCGGGTGCAAGCTGAATCCTCGCGGTGCTTGAAAGGTACACCATGTAGCAGTATCAAAACGATCAATCTGATGCCCGCACAAATCCCTAAACACTGCAAGGCTTAGAACTTGTTCATGGTTGGGATTCGGGATAGTATTAAAAGTTTTCATGTTGATTCCTTGTTGGGTTTATATACGTACCCATAAGAATGCAAAATGTTATCCCACTATGACAAAGATTTGCCCCACAAGACTGAACCGCACGGTACTGTTGATGGACAAAATCCTGCATGACCCTAGGGACTCTAAACTATGGGAATTATGGTATATTCCTTATAATGGGTAATGCAGGATTTTGTCCATCAACAGTAAGGAAGGTCTTTGCTGGGTACCATGCAGGATGCCCGAGGGAGTCTCGGGTGGTGCGGGACCGAACCGATGAAGAAGTCTACTGTCTGGTTCTTAGTAGGGAGTGCAAAAACCCAGCCCATCTTCCTATTGCTTAAGATTAAGAACAGGGTCTTGCTATATCCATCATGAGAGACAACATACCATAGTTCCCATAGCTTATTTCAGGCAAAGCAGGATTCGTCCATCAGTGGTGTAGGCCTCTGAGATTGAGGTCCAGGAGTTCGAGACAAGACAACTGAACTTCGAGAGGGACTCTCATGAGGAATCTCCGAAAGTGTGACTATGATGCTGGTTGTTCGCTCACGATCAATACTACAGCTGTTGCCACTATGATTCTGAAAAGAAGTGCTTTAGTTTCATGCTTGCGCATGACGTCCCAAAACCGGACATAGAATTGCGTTCGGGGCTTGATGTCCTGAGCCAACACAGAGTGTGCTGCCTTCAGCTCACTGCCCAGCGTCATTCATATGTTCATGCCCAAACCCACTAGCGCGAATCCGAAATCTCAAACCCGATGCGAGCCTGAACGATTATCTTCACTGGAGTGAACAACTGATTCCATAGCTCTTATTCCAAAAACTGTAACCCATAAGCCCCGGACCGGGAAACAAAACCTTCATTCAATTCCTTTCACGAGCTTGCTGATCTCACAGTCGGCTTTGGCTGGGTGTCCGGCCCATTGAAGCGGAGTCGCGTCATCTGCAACGAGACGGGTTTGCGCGACTTCTTAACTTGTTTTACTTCCTAGCGATGTGCTATTGAAAACGATCAGTCCAAACGAGAATGTACTTAAAGGGAGAAGGACAAATTTAATCAATGCAGCCGATAAGTTTCCAAAAATCTGGAAACTGTGGCAGATACTTGGAAAACCAATTATGAAGGCATCTTCTCGTGCGTGTCTGCTGTATGTTTCAGTTAAGCGGGCATGAGCCGCCCAGAGGCTGTCGTCCTGCAGGAAATGAATCGCAAGCGCGTGTATGGGTACTCCACTACAGTAAAATAAAGTTGGAAACCGGATTAAGGCCAAATAGTGCTGGGATTCCCTTTACATTACTCTTAAGGATTGAAGCTATGGGGTTTCCAACTTTTAGGCTTCTACTATATACCATCCCTCCTTTACCATACAGTGCTACTACCGTCATTCTACTTACGACTGCTACAAGAGCCTTCCACAAGCACATGTGGGATTCTCCATTCCTGTCTCTGTTTTTTGCGCATCTTTTCCCATTACTGCGAAAACTGTTTTCCTTGAACACTTTCGTGAGGGTCAGAAAAAGAGGCAGTAGGAGGAGTAGCAGGATGATGTGGTTTTGGTGGTGGTAACAAAGTGGTAGCAGTGGAAGTGGTCGCGATGGCAATCGCCGCTGCAGACGTACATATAATTTACAGCAGTGCAACTCTGACTCTTGCTGCGAGTTATTGGAACTGAGTTGGATTCTCCTGCAAAGATTGCGATCAGCTGTTGCAAGTCCTCGCTACAGCCCATAGATGGCATAGATCTTGGGATGCGGGCCCAAAAGTTAGGGTAAAGACACTCCGGAACTGAGCTTGCTAATGCCGGCAATGCTGGCATCTGCACATGAGATTCAAGCCTCGGCTCGCAAGAAACCTGGCCGAAAGTTGCTGAGACCTTTGTAAACGACTCGGAGTATTGATGAGAAGCTTTGCCTGCCGTCCGAAAGTCCAGTCAGAAAGTCAACAAGCTCCGATGCTGCTAAACCCCGCTGAAATCAATGCACCAGACACTACTGCAACTGAGTGCAAAGCCCTACATGACCCAATGACATGAGGACAGGCCGACCAGTGTGATCCTTTTGCCTTTTCACTCGAGCATGGCCTTGGACCAGGATGCTGCTAAGATGCTGTGTAAACGATAATGATGACTCGTTGCAAACGGCAGTCATAGCCAATGTGCTGCGTAAGTGAGCGGGATTTGAAGCCATAGAATTGTGGATGGTGACCCCACAGCAGAGATATGTGTAAGTGTAGAGTCGCTTAGGCACAAGCGGTCCAGCGGAGGATCCATTCGCCATAGCTTCCGAATTCGATGCTCCGCACAGTGCCATATTGCTCCTGAACCTCTTGTACTTTTTCAGACAGAGCCGAGGGTGGGTTGGTCAGCTTCCAAGGGGGATGTTGACTATCTCCCCAGTGGATGAACCATGCTGCCTCGTCGTAGTCTTGGAAAGCACTTGTGCCGGAGATACTCAGCAGGGCAATAGTCCTGTGTCTGTTGGAGTCCAACATGTTGCGAAGACTTCTTGGCAGACTGTGAGTCTTCCAGCTACCGTCGGGCCAACCTGCAAACCATGAGCCCCTCTCGCCAAATGCAACGACAGACAGATGCCCGTCATCTGCCAAAGCCTCCAGGAAGCTCTCAGGGCCAGACCATTTTGCGGAACCGTCGCTGAACTTCACATAGTAGTCTTCCGAATCTGGGCTAAGCGCAGCCATTGTTGCATGCGACTGATGATAGCCCCGGCCGTTGAGCTTATTTTCCAGTGATCTTGGGATGTTGAACCAAACATGGCCCTTGGCATAGTCCCACAGAGCAATGTAGCTGTCGTTACCAAGAGCCACCTGCAGTGCTTCCCTGTTATAGACCTCAAGAAGATGCTTCTGATTCGCAGACAGCGCTGCCCAAACTTTCGGCCCTCGCCTCTCCTCCGCCTGATGTTTCTTTTTTGCATGCTCTTTCTCTTGCTTGCGCTTCCTGATCTCCTCTCGCCGCTCTCGTTCGCACCTTTCTTCCTCAAGCTTTCGCAATCGCGCTTCTTCTTTCAAACGGGCTTCTCTGTCCTCCCTATCTTGAATCTGCTGGGACTGTGCATCGATAAGAGCCCGTCTCGCCTGGAGTTCCCGTATTTCCTGCAACAGCTTCTCAGATGCCCTCTTCAAAACCAGCCTCTGGGCAGCATCGTCGCGCCACACTTGGTCCGGTGATTCTTGGTCCTCTGGTTTTCGGCATCTGGTGCCGTTTGGGTCCGTTCTCCAGTAGCCTTTAACTTCGCGACGCACCATTTCCGGCAGCGCTGAAAAGAACCCCTCCAAGGACCGCTGACCGGTCACATCCAGACGAAGTGCCGCTGTGCTCAAGACTTTACCGAGCCGCGAGGGCTGGACGTAGCCCTTGAGCATCACAACTCCGTGCTTGACAGCAAAATTAGATGCCTTGCTGCCAGGCAGGATGTCAAGACAGCTGCAACCATGTGGGGTTGACACATCGATGACTTCACCATCGAAATATTCCAAGTCGATCTCCACGACTTGCTGCTTCGAGTTCTTGGAATCCGCTTCAGCGTAGTAAAGCGCCACTTCTGGTGACACTGTTGTGTGCAAGAACTGATTCGCAACTGCCCCTTCTTGCAGGGCCTGCACGACAGTGCCTTGCAAGCTTACGACAACGAACGGCGAAATGGTACTGTGCAAAATGAAAACTGAAACAAGATAAGTGTCAAACGCATAACCTACAATCTGCCACCGTGGTGGAGGTTTCTAAATGCAACTGAGCACGCTTGGCAGCAGGATCCCGTGCCCTCAGCCCTGCCATGACGTCCTGCCAGCATAGCAGCTAATGCAAACGTTCCAATGTAGCGATTCTGTAGTTTTATCAAGTTATTGCCCGTACTTAGTCAGTCGTGCACCGTCCTCATCCGGACGTAAGGCTCGGTAAACATACCGCTGCACGTGCTGCGCGTTGTCCCTCTCATCCTTTTCATCGACCCAAAGAAGTCCGATGTGGTGCGCCATGGCTCGTACGGACTGCGGAAAATGCTTGAGCACAGCTTTCTCTTAGAACGGTAAGCCCGCACTCAGCGCATACACTGCCGAAGCTGGTGCCATAAGTTCTTAGCCAAAGTTCGGAGGTTTGAGTCTGGAGGGTGCTGCGCCTCACTTTCAGCCGGAGGGCCTCTCTGCGTCAGATGTTGTGAAGTACACTCAGCTCGCCGACTAAGTAGAGCTTCGCCCTATTCAAGGCATAGAGCCAATCAGCTTTGACACTCAAGATGCATCTAGCCCAGTCCGATTCACGCAGCTCATGTTGGGCAATCCTTGCAGCAGCCACAGCATCCGCTACTTCCCGTGTCAAGCTTCTCGAATCCAAGTGGCCGCATGCAGCCATTAAAAGTCAGGAAGCTGAGGTGCTGCCTGGACCCGGACGGAGCAGCATGCACTAGTGAGCTCAATGAAGATCCGTACGGGGACTGCAATCGCCGCACGTCAACTACTTGTAGCCAGAGGCTCAAGGTCAGCCAGCTCTTCGATTAAAGCTCCAATCTTGGGGCCAGGAGCCCCGTGCAGCACTCAGATAGGCTGTGAATATGTTCAAAATGAGTTTGATGTTCAAGCAGGACGCACAGATACGTACCAGTGTATATACACAGCTTATGAGTTAAAGTTTCAGCAGCTAAGTAGGTAGGTAGTAGTGGCTGCGTGTGTGTTTGTGTGTGTGTGTGTGAGTGAGCGCATGCTCATAAGCAACTCTCCTGGGCGCCATCTGATATAAACTGGTCTAAACCCTAAACCCTTGGTACGTACTGTTCAGTTCTGTACAGATTGCATGCATGTCCTCTGACATGTCCGGGCCTCTGCTTTCGGGCCGGATCAGTCTGCATAACGAAGAACCCAGTCGTCACTGCTTCCAAACTCGATGCTTCGCAGATTGCCGGCGTTCTCTGCAGTTTGCTGTAGCGATGACGGCGCATTCCTACTAAGCCTCCAATTTGGCTTTCGCCCTTCGTCCCGCCAGCGGAGGAACCATAACGCAGCATCTACATCTTGACCACAATCCACGCCCGAAATACTGAGAAACGCAACAGACCGATCCTTGTTTGAGGACAGCATGTTGCGGAGGCTCTTCGGCAATCCGTGGTGATTCGTTTTCCCATTTGGCCACGCAACAAACCATGAGCTCTCCGGACCCAAGGCCACCACTGAAGGGGGCTCGGAGTCGTCTTGCAGGGCCGTGGCGAGCCCAGGTGGGGAACGGTAGTGAGACTTCCCGTCACTGAACTGCACATAGTAGCAATCTGAATCTGGGCTTAATGCAACCAGTGTCGCATGTGGCAGCTCTTTTGCGCGACCTCTGAGTTTGTTTGCAAGCTCCCGTGGAATGCCTTTCCAGTGATGGCCCTTGGCACGGTCCCACAAAATGATGTAGCTGTTGCTGCCTAGGGCCACCTGCAAGGCATGCCGGTCAAAATTTTGAAGGACATGATCCCGCCAGAAACAGCGGGCCCATATCCTCGGCCCACGCAGCTCTGCTTGACGCTCGTCTGCTTCCTCCCTCTTCAGCCTTTTCTGCCGCTCTTCCTCGATTTGCCGCTCCTCCTCGCGCTTCCGCTTCAAATCTTCCTGACGTTGTGTCTCAAGCCTCTGGCGTTCTTTGATTGGCCCTGACAACAACTTGATGAGGCTCCTCTGAGCTTGGAGCTTGGCTATCTTTGCCTCCAGCTTCTCAGCAGCTTCGTCCAGAACTCTGCCCTGCATGCTATCATCATCGCACAAGGCCTGATGCTGTGACTTGCGCACTTCAGGCTTCCTGCAAGCGATCGTGGGTGGTCCTCTTCTCCAGTTGCAGAGTTGCCGTCGCGCGGAGAGGGGCAGCATTGATGCAAAATCTTCGCAGGAGGGTCCCGTGCCGAAAGACAGAAGGCTCAAGCCTGATGTTCGCAGAACCTCTCCCAACCGACTGGGGTGCACATAACCCTTGAGCATCACAACTTTGTGCTTGACAGCAAAATTGTATGCTCTGCTACCGTATCGGATTCCGTAGCGATTGCAGGCCTGGGCGTCTGAAACATCGAAGACCTCACCGTTGAAACCTTCCAGCTCAATCTCCACAATCTGGTGCTTCGAATTCTTCCCAAAAGCTTCTGCATAGTAGAGTGCCACTTCCGGGGACGTGGTGGTGTGCAGATACTGATTTGCGACTGCCCCTTCCTCAAGGGCCTGCATCATACTGCCTCAGTGCTGCAATCTGTGACCAGGTGAGAACCAAACCACCTAGACTAAGGTAAGAACCCTAAGTACGAAACAAGAGCTTTAACCCCAAGACTCGTCAGCCCGAACTCAAAACCCGAAACCGAGCTGTATTGCTCAATCTGGCCAACCGAAAGAAATCACTCCAAAAGGTCTCTCGCATCAAGTCGAAGGCCTGCAACCTGATGAGAAGAAGACATCCAGTCGTAAGCATACGGTACGACATATCGTTAGAGCCGGTGATTTACCATCCGGACATCACCACGGGCCAATGAGCAAAGTTGAACATGCATGAACTGAGCATGGGCACGCTCGGCACTGGGATCACGAGCCCGCAGTCCAGCGAGAGTGTCCTGCAGACAGGGCATGACGCGCGGATGAAGTCTATGGGTGCCCGAATAATTAGGATAGGGTTTTGGGCTAGATTCTGATATAGCTATAGAAGGAAGCAGAAGGAACACTGTTGGTATTTATGCATACCCCTGTAGCACTCAATCTTGTCGTACGCTTTGTTGCAGTGGCTTCGATGTGGCGGCCTATGCCTCTTCCACTCCAAGTCTTCGATTTAGGGTTTAGGCTTCTTCGATCGTCCCGCTCGTCGTCCGCAGAAGATCCCGGAAGTATAGTATGTTAGAACCGGTATGAGCAGCAAACGCAAGCCGCAGTAGTCTTATCAGTGCTGATTTCCGTCTGAATAATTCATGTCTAGTTCTATGCCTGAAGGCGTGAGAGATCTTAAGACCATTCCAGGTGCGACCCAGAGAAAAAAGTACAATGAAGTGCCTGCCAAACAGGTAAATTGCGGAGATCACGTACTTCTATTCGCCTAAAGCCTCTGCCGAACCGTGGAACGGTTGGGATCTGTGGAGGTCCTCATCCTCGCGCAGAGCCCGATAGACGAAGCGCGGCACCGTGTTCTTGAGGCATAGATCCTCCTTACGTGGGTTCCTTTGAGGGGTCTATGAGGGGTCTAGGGGCTAGGGGTTTTGGGGTTTAGGGTTTAGATTTCAGGGTTCAGGGTAGGGATCGAATCCCCAGCCGTAGCACTGAGCTTTTGAATGGGTATTGCTTCGCCTCTACCAGCTATACCCTTCCCGCAGTGTGTTGAGGCCCAACCGACACCGCAAAAGAAACCCTGCATCCGCCGTTGGGCCTCTGCACCCTTCTTAAATTCCGAATCCTATGAAGACGGCGGAGCTTCGAAGTAGGATCCGTTGTAGATGCCAGCAATAGCCATCGTCATCGGCGCAAGTTGGAGTGGAGAAGGGCTACTCTTTGGTTCTACGTGGCATAAGGCTTAAGGCATGCGATGCATATACCCAACTGAAAACTGAGGGTTTGCTGCGCCGACAATGTTTTCTTGACCTAGGCTGGCTAGGCTTCTGCGGCTCGAATGCTGCCGGGGGGGGGGGGGGGGCAACGAGTCCTTCCCTTGTCGTGTGCTGCCATGACAGCACTACCGCAACCTTGAAGAAAATTGCTGCCAAGTCCAGAAAGAACCTCCCTGATCTCATGCACTGAGTGCATCGGCTAGCAACAGTTGGTGACAAGACGTCAACCGCAGCATCCTCAAACGTCAGAATGCCACCCACTCCAATCGAGCGTAGCACCTCCTTGTAGATGCTCCGACCACGCTTGCAGCCACACCTGCGCAGGTGTCGGCGTGCTTGCAAAAACGATCCGAAATCCTAGACCTACACCGACAGTCGCCAAACCCCGAAAAGCCAAAGCTCCACTCACCCAAATGATACAATCCATCGTCTCAATGCGTGACTGAAGCTCTAAAGCCAATGCCACAGACCCTACAACCCCATTTACATCCCCTGAACTGAACCTAGACTCTAGACCATGGAAGCCTTAACCCCAAATGCACTCGGCCTTCAACCTAGCAGTCGTCCCTGTAGGCCCGAAACGGCGGGCAAAAGGGGCCGATTCGAAGCGTCGTGCCTGGGCCACTTCCGGGGCAACTGAGGCGTTGGCCATCGTTTTCGGGGTGAGTAGTAGGAGAATAAGGGCTCAAGTTGCAATCCTGGGGTGAGCGTTGCTAGATGCTCGGCACGGATCCCAACCCCCCCGCCGCCTGTTGATGCGAGAAAAATGAGCTGCAACTTCTCAGGGTCGACAAGATTCTGCAACATTCCAGGCCGAAGCACATCTATGACAAGTTTGATGAAATTGTGGAAAAAAAGGTCAGTGTAGCGGCACACTGTCACGGCACGACATTGGAGACAGAATACTTGCTGCACTTATTGTTGTAGAAAACCCTCACGCAACCGCACTGTAGCTTTCCACACTCCATGGGCAAGCCGTCTGCAGAGCTCCATGAGCCTGCTTGCCTCTATGCAGGACTTGCCTATGTGGCTTCGTGAGCCAAAGGCGGGAACAAGCCTCATTGGGCTGGAGGGTGCCGCTACGCCACTGAGCCGCTAAGCAGAAAGTCCGACCCGTCATCGTACACGACATGGCCGGGATCACCCAGGGAAGCCTGTACAGCAGCATGGACCTTCGAAGGTTTAAAAACTTGCTGCTGCAGGCCTGTACACGGTCATGCTCGCGCAAAGATTAGCACGAAGCTCGCTGCAAACTCACTAGACAATCGTTCGTAAAGCTTGCGAGCTGCTCCTGTACACCTCGCCCCAAGTTATTAAAAACAAGAGGGGCCCTTTACATGCCTTCCATGCAGGAGGTTGGCTTCATGACATGGCAGCGTGGAGGTGCAGTGCCCGAGGTTTCTGGAGATTGGCGCGAGAGCATGTCAGCACTGAAGGCTCCCTGGGGCCGTGCCCTTGACATAGGCAACGAGCAAGGACCCCGGGAGCCTAAAGAGATCCCTTACTCTGCTTCTTGCGAAGCTTCGCCAACTTGCGATTCTCAAACCTCCGCTTGCCCAGCTCCCCATCTGCACAAAGGTGGCAGTGGAGACACTCTGCTCCCCTCAAGCCTCAGCTCTGCTTTTAGGCATCTGAACAGTCTAACTTTGATATCATTTTCGATCACATACTATACTAACACTAAACATTACACTTCAAATCTTCCTATAATAAGCATCAACGTCATGATGTTCACGAATATGTTTCAACTCCTCCAAAACTTGAAAAACGATGATTAAGAATGGCCCCAGGAAGCAGCTGCCTGGTCTCCAGTACCAAGCACAAGGTCGGCAAAGCTTCGCCTCGTGCAAGGAGGAGCCGATAGACTCTGAGGGCTGCAGGGTTCCTCGGCGTCGATGCTTGGGGGGGGGGGGGGGGGGGGTATATGAAAGTATATCCATAGTAAGGATCCCTAAGGAATGATAGTTTTGAAGGGATTAGGGTTTAGGGTATATGGGGGTTTCCGGAAATAGGGGACCCTAATATAGTACCCTACATAGTAGGATCCTTATTGTAAGGACCTCCAAATAATGTACCCTAATCTTCGGAAACTCCCACTTTCCTAAGAAATGATTTCTTTGAAAGGTTCAGGATTCCTGGGTGCCAATTAAAGCGGGTCAGCACCGGGTTTCGATGGTTTAAGGTTCGTTTGTTGTTTAAGTGTTGCCTTTTTTCCAGAGGTCAGGTTTAGGGCCTAGGGTTTCGGCTTACAGTTGGGCTTCTACATCAAGAAGGGACACCAACAACTGTCCCAAATCGGTGCCTAGATTCCCATGGTCGTTGTGCTTGTGCCACTCATCGAATGCGGTGACCCGGGAGCCGTGGCTCCTGTGTGCTCGGTTTGGAGCACGTCGTCGCCTGTGACATCCTCTTCGAGCAACCATGAGCTAGCTCCATGCATTGACTCGCCGATGAAGGTCGTGAGCAAGCTTGAATTACTGCCACCGCGCGTCGATGCCAATTGCCAAGCTGTACATGACCCCCGCAACATGGATGCGCCTGGTGAGGCCGAAGTTGATTCTGTACCTTAACGCTGCTGGCGCAGGGACGGCTAGGCGAAGCGCAAGCAACACGCACATGATAAATGACTAGAAGCAGTAGTAGTAGCCGTCGTCGTAGTAATTAGTAGTAATTAGTAGCAGAAGAAGTAGGAGTAGGAGTAGGAGTAGGAGTAGGAGCAGCAGTAATAGTAGTAGTCGCAGTCGTCGTTGTAATCGCTGTCGTGCTCGAAAGCCGTAGTCGTAGCCAGCACTAGTATAAGTAAGCTGTTTAGTAGCTATGTGCTGGAAGCATTTCGCAACAACAAGGGTGTCGCTCTTCAAGGTGGGCAACCCGTGCTGAAAGAAGTGAACAGACGCTTCAGAGGCATGAAAAGCTCGCGAAACCTGCACCGAGATACATCGGATGCCGTGCTCATGCACTGGCGTCGGGAGAAGCTTCGGGACTGGATCTTTGACTGTGTCTGGCTCTGGAAGTTGATCGGTTGCCGTCGACAGCGCCGGCAGGCTTAGGGTGCGTCTCATTGGTTCCCCCTGGCTGGGGATGAATTCCAAGAAGGTCTTCTTCTCCACGAGGCTGAAGTTCATCACCTCCTCCACCCTTGGTTCCCAAAATCCCTCTGAAAATCAACAGGGAAGAATTCGCGATTGTCACTTCCGGCGGACACATTTAAAAAGAGAGAAGTCTCAACAGCACCAAGAGTCTGCACGGAAGCCATCTGCTAACTGTCAACGGCGTGGCTCTCTTGCTTCCCGAGTGGCTGCGGAGTCACAGCCGAGATCTAGGATCCGAATGTAAACCAAGCCCTGAGTCAGTCTCTGACCTTGTTACGATCTCTGGGGTATCGGCCTTGGGGCTTATAAGTCTGTAGGATCTGAAATCTCCTTCGCTCTACGTGGATCCAGGATCTTATTGTGCCAGCATGCTTCGCCTCATAGTGCTGCAATCAGAAGCATGCAACATCTCAGCTAGGGCCTCACAGAAGAGAAACATCAAGGACCTCATGCCCTGAGTGAGTCTGAGTGTGCTGCATAGTCATCTTCGTCAAGCAGCTCCTGCCGCAACTTTCTCTGAGTTGACTACAGATTGAGTCCGAGATACCGTGCTCTTTCAACGAATCAGCAGAGACAGAGGATTGACGCCAAGCACGTTGCTCAGGCGGGCTGAAATCTCTGCTCTCAAGCGGAGGGCCGTCTAAAGCATCCCTCCAGCCCAACTGAATCCCCTGTGCCGGAGTTTCGTGCTGGGCTGCTCCTACAATGGCTCAGCGTGTTCAAGCCCAGCGGCAAGGCAGATTTCAAATTAAATCCCTCTTATACGCTTATATGGGGATCCTGTCAGGGTTCTATAGGGGTCCTATTGTGCCCCCCTCGGCCCTGAAATGCGGCAACCCTCCTTGACGGGCTCGTGCATTCCTGCGCGTAGGTGCGCCAGCCGCCGGGGCGCCTCAAGAGGTTCGATCTGGTTGATTGACCTAGAGACTCCAATACCCCTTAGTTAAGGGATATACATTAAATTATATATAATAGGATTCTTAATATGGTTTAAGGAATATTCCTGAATTAAAGGATATTGGAGTCTCTGGGGATTGACTGCCTGTGCGAACACCCTTGCAAACATGCCAAAACAGAGGCCTTTAGCAGTTAGAATAAGGTTTTAAACTATACTATACTCTACTTCTGTTATTTTGAGGAACCCCAGAATAGTATCGGCATTTATTCAGACACCTAAATTTCGCAAGGTTCGCGGGCCCGTGTGTGCAGCATGGGTTTCGCTGTAGACTTTGGAGGGTGAGGCTTATACTTAAAGGATCATGGGACTTAGTAACTAGTATAATTAGGGTGACTATACTTATAACCCCAATTAAGGTACTTACAACCTTACGTACTAAGTCCCATGATCCTCTCCAAGTAGGACTTGACTAGGAGCTTGTTGGCTGAACAGTATACGGGCTCTAGGGTTTCAGAGCCCCTAAACCCAAACCCTATAGCCCCTAAACCCTAAACCCTAAACCCCAAACCCCTAAACCCCTTAAACCCCTCAAACCCCTAAAGCCCTAGGCCCCAAACCCTAAACCCCTAAACCTTACGAGTGCCAGGCCGGCTAGGCTCTCTTGCGCGCACATAGTCTTGAGGCTGCAATGGTGTTGCAATCTCTGCTGGAGTTGAAAGTCCGAGCCAGAATGATCAGAATTTGGCGCCTTTACAAAGGATACGATAAGAGCACTTGATGGGTTTCATGTAGCGGCCTTAATTATCAGAATGGGGTTTAGGGCTGTATTATACTAGATTTCTGTTAAGGATCCCCCAAAATAGTATTGGGAATCATCTAGGCCCCTCTACTATCGCAAGGGCATGCTGAATCTTGTGAAGCAGCAACACAAGTCTTGCAGGTTCACCCCTGATGCTACGCCATCACCTGGCAATGCTACGACCCAGTACCTGAAGTCTGCAAACGCCGCATATCAAGCACTGCCCTCTGCCACAGTGGCGCTGTCCAGGTGAAGGTGGAGCCATCGTGCAGTCTCAGCTTGCACTGGACGAGATACCACGTGTGGCCTGGGCAAAACTATAGGGCTCCGAGACTTCGAATCATTTTTTAGTCTTCACTGCAGGCCTTTGCTTGGTTAGCCAGTTTTATGGTCAGGACTCTTATAATACCAAAACAAGGCGATCAAAAACGAATCTAAACCCTAAACTGTGGGTAGGGCGGGGTTCGCCACTGAGGACTCTTCGACAGAGCACGATCTGAAGACGAGGCCTCGTCCAAGCCTCAAATAGGGGACTTAACAATTCGCATGAGGCGTTGGGGTAATTATATGATATCATGATATAATCAGGGACCCTAACGAAGAGCATAAGACAAGAGTTGAGCCCCTCTACTACGAACTTGATGACTGCTAAGTCCTGGAGTAAGTCGTCCACTTCGCTCCTAAACTCTCAGAAATCACAAATACCCCATGCTCCAACAAGTCCCCAAATCCTGAAGCCCAAGGCCCAAGGGCCTGCAAAGCGAGAGCCTTCAAAGTTTTAGGCGTCAAGAATGAAAGACCGGGTTTCCGCGCCCACTTCCTCCACATGCTCCGAAAGCTCGAAATCCAGCCGCAAACGTCGGGACTCTTCGGCAGTCCTCTTACCGCGGGCTTCGAGGCTTGAGGGTATAGGGTTGAGGGTTCATGTTTGAGTGCTTAGCCGTGATTTCTTATGTCTCGGATTCAGGGTTTGGGGTTCAGGGTGGCTAAGGTTAGGTGCAGAAGGAATACATTTCACCCAGCCTGCCCGAGGACGAAACCTCTGCATGACAAGAGCGATCTTAAGCTAAACAAAACCCCAAGGCCCAAACCCTAAGACCCGAAACCCAAAACCACTGCCCTAAACCGTAGGACCCTAACCCTAAACTGCGCAAGACCCAGAAGCACGAAGCCCAAAGCCTGGCGAAGCCTTGGAGAACGGACCCCCCAAGCCGAAAGCACGGGACTCAAAGCCTTGCACCGTGGGGCTCATTCTACTGTTGGATGCCCTGTCAAAGGAGCTTTCGCATGAGTACGTATGTATGCATGTATATATGTAGGTATAGGTATGTACATATGATGCAAAACATGGATGGATGGATGGATGGATGGATGGATGGATGGATGGATGCATGCATGCATGCATGCATGCATGCATGCATGCATGCATGGATGTGTGTATGTGCCAGTATATAAATATATGTGTGTATATATATATATATATACACATGTATATATATATATATATATATATATATATATGTATATACACACACACACATGTATCTGTTCTCGTAGGTAACAGACATGTATCCGAAAATCCCAGGAAAGTTCCGCCCGCAACACTTCTCCCACGGAGTCCAGGCTGTATCGCTCTCCGCGTAACATTGGAAACCTCTCCTTTGCAACGAGATTTGCTTCGGATTGGGGTGTAGGTCGACAGCCAACCTCCGAAAACCTCCATGACAAACCCGCAAGACCCCAAAGCTTTAACCCGGAACGTCCAAATTCTTGGAGCTCCCTTGACAAAAACCCAAAAGGAATCTGTAAAGGAACCCTCCAAGCCTGGAATTACCAGCACACCGAGGACCAGTCGATGGAATGCTTTCAACTTACGGTGGCCTCTTAGGGGTCAGGGTTTAGGGGTTCAGGGTTTAGAGGTTAGGGGTTCAGGGTTTGAGGGCTAGGGTTAAGGGGTTAGGGTTTAGGGGTTGGGGTTCTTGTGGGCGGCTTACAGTGGAACAGGGCCCGAAGTTGCAACCGAGCCTTCGGCCTAGAGTAATAATATCGAGTCTGAACTCTTCGTCATGTTAGCACTTGCGTTTCTTGTATTTTGCACTCGAATCACAAGTATGTAATCACATCTCAAGCAATAGCGATCCAAACTCTTCAACGGCCCTAGGTGGATACTTCTCAAGCCCGAGCCCGAAACCCATTTCCTCTCCGATAACCCTGGACACTAAAAGCCTGAGCAACTTCCATCTCAAGACTCCCCTGTTCTTAGCAGGGAATGCGGTCATGGGTTAGTTATGGGGACGACCTTAAGGAACTATCATGGGAACTCATGCCCCCATTCGCTACCAGGAACTACCGAGGAGATTCGATCCAGAACCTTCAGCTCAAGCAAGCAACATGCACCAGAGACTGTTCAGCGCTTGGGTGTGTGGGCTACAAGCTAGTAGTACGATTGACGATTTTACACTTGGACGTTGCATGTCTACTTTTTGTGGGTCGCTATAAATTCGAGGGTTTATAACACAGACCTAAAGAAGTAGGTTATCGTAGTTTAAGGCTTAAAGCAGAGTGCAGCATCTGGCGGGGCGTGTCGTTGGCTGCCGAGTTTGCCAGCACCCCCCTCCTATAGCCCCGTAATATAGCCTACGTACCCATTTTCAAGGACCATAAGCCACGTATGAAAGGATAAATACTTGGGGTGCTGGTGGGTTCCCTGAGATGGCTTCGGTGTCTCATCTACTGTTGCTGCCAAGCTGCAAGTATTCGACGACATAGGGCACCTTCATGTCCAGGAATTATGCACATGATACAGTTCAAGCAACAGCTTTGCCGTAGCTCTGGCGATTGACTCACCAATAAAGCAGACTGAACAAACCTTGAAGAAACCAGACAATACCCCAAGGGTCCAAGTACCCAATAATCATATACTCTCCAAAATCCTAACCTACACAACTACTATCCTAAACCCGAGTACCTAATTATTGGGTCCTTTGGACAGCAATCTGTCATGAGCCCTCGTTCTGATTCCGAACCCTCAACACCAAACCCAGACCCTGCAGGCTCTCATGAGCTCTGGCTCAGTCTCCCTACACCCCTAGAGACTCCAATACCCCTTAAGTAAGGGATATACCTAAAGTTATAGTAGGATCCTTAGTATGATTTAAGGAATATTCCTTAATTAAGGGATATTGGAGTCGCTGGGCCCTAAACCCTAAACCCGAAACTCTTCAACGACCGCTGGACAAGACTGACGGCCAGCCTCTTCGCGCCCAACCCAATCAGCTGCCAACTCCCAAACCTTAAGAGGGCTCTTTCTGCACAGGAACATTTCGGGGATACTATAGGGGCCTTCATAATTGGAACAAGCTTTTGAGGGTATATGGTACTATGATTATCATAACTAAAACAAAGGACTCGCAAAACATATTGGCTGCCCATGAACCTTGTTCATGCATACAGTTGAGCGCTCCAATTTCTGCAAAGCTGCATCCACATCAGGCTTGATAGGAGATGTGGATAGCTTCCTTAGTATGGCAGGGTCATTGCCAAGGGTTCATTTCCCGGCGGATGCGCTTCCTGAACTTCTGATGCATTCCTTCCGTGAGCTGGAAACATGGAGAACCCTCATCCAGATGCTCAACAACCAACCAGCAAAGGCCACAACACCGCGTTACCACCTTCCCAGCAGGGTGCAGGTTGCAGAAAACCACTAGATGTGTTCTGTATCCAACCAGCAAGGGAAAAGTAAACTCATCCATGCCTATCTAGGCTCAGAACAGCTTATACTGAATGTCCGAACGTTTGGTCACCTAGAGCGACTTGAGATCAGTTTCTCATCGCTCACCGTTGTCTGGACATATTGCAAGAGCTCAGAGCTCTGGCTCCATATGGCGGAAATCTTGAACCCGAACCCAGAACCAAAACATACACCTGCCCGTGGATTTAGACAGCCGTCGTCACAGCGTTCCTGAGCTTCAGCGACTCGAGCTCCTGGGGTGGGTGGATGTGACATGAAGATTCGATCCCCAATGGACAATCTCTGAAGTGGCTTCACTGAGCCTGGGTTACATATCGATCGAGTCTTCGTCTAGGTACTCCACAACAGGACTCGTCACTTCCTTCTACAAACCCGAGGCAGGCCCTTCAGAATACGTGCGTGGCAATTATACCAAGTGAGCGGACCCAAGCCTATACATCAGCGCTGAAGCTCTGACGCGGAAACAAGTCAAGTCCAAATAAAGACATGACGTGGTGTGCTGTATGGAGTCTTGTGCTGCAAAGACAGTCACAAATGTGTGTCTGAACTGAACATCAAGGATTTTCAGAAACTGGGGGACGCTGATGCAGAAGCATAAAATCATATCCTGAGGTCGCAAAGAATGTACCCCCTTTTGTTATAAAATTCCTGTAAAACCAAGTTTTAAAGATATTCAACAGCGGTCGGTCCAAACGGGCACGCCAGTGGGCAGAGCCGCGACGGGCAGCGGCAGGGGCCAGCATGTTAGGTGTCAGAATAGGCGAGCTAATTAATGATGGGTGTTAGGAGTCCAGTAATATGGGTTACAAGTATAGTTACCCTACTTATAACCCTACTTATTGCTTTGGGCTGAGGGATGCAGGACATACGAAACTGGCTTAACGCATTGGCTCTTGGGAATATGGCTTCCGACATGATTTGTCCGAGTGTTGTTTCGGATAGCTGCAGCGTGCTCGCAACCACGCGTGCCTGAAGTCTGCCTGCTTCTGGCAAGCTTTTAAACTTCGACGAAGACTCTAAAGACTTTAAAAAGCATGTCGGACTGATGAGCAAAGGAGGAATCTAGTGCTGAAGATCTCTGCCCACTGACCCCTTCGGGGTGTGAGGCCTGACTGTGACCCTGAATGGCTGCAGCAACTTGACACAGTAAACATGCAGTTTCGCGTGTAAGGATTCGTCTTGAAACGCCTTACGTCAGAAGAATCAGAGGAGGGTCAAAGGAATAGCATGCATGGTCACATGCCAAAGTCAAAGGAATCATGACCTCAATCTTGAGCGCAGTGAAGAAGCAAAGAGGCAAAAAGCTGTTGCATTGTTCGCAGTGCTTCTCAAATCCCTCATAGCAATAGCAGTCGTGGTCGCCTGTAGTTGTTTTGAGTATATAGTAGTTGTCGTCGCAGTCGCAGTCGCAGTCGCCGTCGCAGTCGCAGTCGCAGTGGCAGCAGCAGCAGCAGCAGCAGCTGCAGCTGCAGCTGCCCATGTTTGGCGCGTGACAACTCTCCGGAAAACTTATGTACTTGTGGTCAGCTGCACTCGAAATAGTGGACTGAGAGGCTAGAGAGATTGAAGCGTGACCAGCCTTTTGACGAGCATGCAGGCATTGCGGTCGAGCTCCAAAGCTCAATTTGGGCCTGTATACGGGGCCCTTTAGGGGCCTGGGGACGTGACCAGGAAGGCCTAAACCTCAAAATAGCCTGAAGCCACAAACGATTCGGAGTAATCTATAACAGTCCATGCAACGCTACTGTATGGTAGTATGATCACGCGCAAAGCTTAGGCGAATGGTGCTTGTTCATACGGACAGGGCACCTGAAGCAGCTCTCAGCTGTGGAACTTCAATCGGTGGGTTCGGGGGGCTCCCGTGTTTTGCCCTCCGGCCACGTTGACCTGGAAGGCCTAAACACCACTGTGCTGTGAAGCAAGCTGCTTCCTTGAAATCCTAAGTCCCACTAAACGGCTCTAGGCTTTTTGCAACATGTAATCAAGTGTGGGACGATCTGGGAACAGCTCACAGTCCCATGGACCTTCAATGGTCGAAGGTCCGCGTCGTGTTGCAATGCGCCTCCATCTTGCGCCAGCACATGAACTCTCCTGCAAGCTGGGCAGGGTCCAGGTTCACTAACTTCTTCCCGCCAAGGGACCACACAGCTTGCAAGAAGAGCACGGCCAGGGAGATCATCCATCCTTGAAGCATCGTGACGGTCACCGTGATTCCAAATAGCTTCTGCATGTACTCTGATGCTTCAGCTTGCCTCTGGACAGCATGAATCAACGTGCCTGTCAGGGTGCGGTCTGTCATCTCCTTGATCTTCTCGATCTCCATGTCCCTGGTCTTGCCTCCACTCGGCTCTTGGCATGTCATCCCCTTAACTTCTTCGGCGTCAGGTTCCCGAAGCTGAATAACCTCGACGTCCAGGAGCCGTCGTGCATCACGGTCCAGCATGAAGTTGGCCCTAACACAGACGAGCAGGACTCGAAACAGTAGCTTCGCCAGGAAAAGAGATAGAAGCAGGACAAGCCAGAGGCCAGGAGCTACTATGGGGTTGACGCCTTCTCGAAACCACACGACGATGCCAGCGAAGGCGAAGTTGACAATCTGAAGCACGATCACGGTGCCGGCGCACTCCATGATGGCGGACGCATCCAGGAAGTCCAGATTTACGAAATCGCGCAGCTGTGCCCAGGCATGGATGTCTTCTCTGTCCCCGAGGTTAAGCGTCAGCCCTTTGCCAATGAACAGATAAAGCACCGTCTGAAGATCCAAGTTCGGGTCTTCCTCCAGACTTTTCTGGAGCTCTGCTCCTCCTTGAGATTGGCGACCTGAGCCTTCATGTACTTCCTCATCCCTTCCACAGACTCTTGCGATTCGTCTCCCTTGGTTTCCACTTGCTCCGAGGTGGTGGCCAGGAAGGACAAAAGCAGCATCCGTTGGGGTAGCTGCGTGAACCGTCTGGTAATGCCGACGGTGGCACATGTGAGTCTGAACCAATGATGAGCTGCCACATATGCCGTTAGCAGCCCACACACCCCTGCATAGACATATCTGTCTGCCCCTAGCCGCCTCCAGGCCAGGTAGCTTGGCACTCGTTCCTCATGAGCCGCTGTCCAATCCAGTTGACACTGCAGGACTATCAAAGCCACGCCGAGCACCAAGGTGGAAGTGAAAATGAGCGCATTGTCGGTGCTCCAGAAGTCGACTTTTCCGAAGATGTCTTTCTCAATCTTGTCGCCGGAATCTTGTTGCAACCGCAGCATGTCTGTGAAAGTGGCAGGTGGCTCTTTTTTTGGAAAGTACTTGTCGAACTTATCCTGCAGCTGCTCCCAGATCTCTTTGGCTTTGGAAGGCAGCTTCTCTTTGGCTTTCTTCCTGTGTTCATGCACGTTCTGCGCGATCTCTATGGCTTTGATCAACAAGACTCGCCAGAGGATGGTTGAACCGAAGGTGCAGGCCACCACGATGACTCCAACCTCTGCCTCAAGCTTGTGATCACGGCGACTCCCAGCTAGACTGTCACATATGGGTAGTTGTCAAAATGAAGGTCTATTTATGGGTGCCTTAAACAATACGTGCCGTATTATATTAGGGACCCAGAAAGGGACTATAATGTTGACAACCACCCGCATGAGGTTTGGGGCAATCTTGCCTCGGCGAGGATCTTCTGCGTGACCACTTTCATGTTGCTGATGTCGCTCTTGAACAACCTCAAGTAGCGCTTGATATACGTGACGACGGTGTAGAGGCATGCCTGGAACAGGTTTGTCCAAAGGATGCCCTCGGTCAGAACTTGCAAAAGAAGCGGTTTCTTTGGCGGCTGTCCAACCGAGAAGAGTCGATGGGTCTGGCTGCAGGAGTACAGCCAAAACATGGCCCCGGTGGTTAAGATGCCAATGAACGGAGTGCCACAAGACAAGGCTACCAGACAGCTTCCAAAAGCCCAAAGCCACCTATCTCGAATTTGACAAAGGGAGAGCTCTGGCGACTTTGAGGCGGATTTGTCTTCCGCGGAAGGATTTGACGGGTGTTCCTGCGCGAAGCACTCAGTTGTCACATGTTCATATATGTAAGATACAAACATACGAATATGTATATATGCAAATAGAAGCTTGTGCTTTTGTATGTATATAGGTACTGAGATGTGTTCTCAATAATTCCATTGTGTTTAACTGTTTATTGTAAGAAACATGTGTTGTCATGATTAACTTGAAATTCACCTGTTTGTCATTACTATCATCATCTATCCCATGTAAGACCACACAGACAGTGCTCTAATCATCTCGGCGGCAGTCCTTGTTGAAGGGGTTCTTCAAGCAGCCGTCCTTCAAGCGGTACGCACCGTAAAGGATCCCGGAGAAAAAACCGCTTCCACAAGCAAACCCTGCCAAAGGCAGGCAAGCGCGGAAAAAACTTTTGGCTATTTCGTTTTCATTCTTCGTCAATAAAAAGCTGGCGCCGAGCTTGCAGATGCATCGGGGCTGCTCGCCCGAAGTGCAGATCCGAATTTCTCCATCTTCGAGCTTCTCGATATGGTCAAGATTCCACTCAAGTTTACGCTCGAGCTCCCCCTTCACAAGGCCATGCAGGGGCACAGGTGACACAAGTCCAGATCCTCCGAGATACGGCTGATGGACAAAAGCCTGCATTACCCATAAGAAGGAATATACCATAATTCCCATAGTGTAGGGTCCTTGGGCTAAGGCAGGATTTTGTCCATCAGCCGTGTTAAGTGATACCCCTGCTACAAGCTGCGAGGTGTGTCTGTCCTGTCGGCGTGATCGTGATCCTGCTCAGCGGCTCGCCTGGTGTCTCTCCACATGGCGATGTGTGGAGATCATACTTGGATCCCGCTTTCAAGTCCTCCGGACTGCCTTCCACCTCTTGGAATCCGACGTAGTAGCTTGTGTCGGCCGGGTCGATGAGATGGCATGTCTGCCCGCACACTTCATCAACTTCATCAGTCAATGATGCCACTTGCTGGTTTCGCAGAGTAGCCACTCGAGAGATGATGAGCAGAAGTAACAGGCTCCCCCTCCACATGTTCGAATGTTTCGCACACTACAGTGTATACAGAATGAGAGAACTCCGGGCCATGTTGGGCCTTCTTTGAGCCTGAGGAGCACACAATCTCAGTTCTGAAACTGGTGCAGCTTCTTCCAAATCACTGTACGGAGAGCAAAGCCCGGGGTTCGACGCATGGGCACCAACCATGTGGGTGGTTGTCAGAATTATGGTCCCTTTTGGGGTCCCTACTATAGTACGGCACCTAATATTTAGGGTACCCAGAAAGGGACCCTAATTTTGGCAGCTACCCATGTGAAGGGCCCGTGACAGAAGGAAGCGATCCTGGCAACTGCTCGAGTCACGCAGTCTGTTTTGCTGCCGCCGGGCAGTGACAGAACAGAAACAGGACACTGTGCACGACGATGCCAATCGTGGCTCTTCGGATTGGAGAATAGATAGAAGTACGGAGAGCGACTCGCAAACTCAAACCCGAAACTAAGAAGAACAAGCTAAAAGAACACCCATGTAAAATCATCGGCTTCAGAACCACAGCTCGTCTCTGCTAGCTTTAGCCTTCTGCGCCTTATGCCCGCAGTGCACAGGAGCCAGGCGTCTTTTTGCTCCCTGCCTGCATTCGCCATGTGCGAGTCGGCACGGGCCGACATCCATGATCTCGGAGCATTCAACAGCTGCATCCGTGTGCCAGGTCAAGAGAGCTGACGCACAGTCACGCTTTCTGGATGTTGCAGCTTCATCTTGCAAGTGGGATACCTGGAAGACTCGCACTGCGCCGAGGAGAATGATTCTTCGAATCTGGTTCCCACAGAGGCACTTCCCATGGTCGTATTCACGGCTCTCGAACATGCCGTAGGCGTATAGACGCAAGATCTATGCGCTTTTTCACGGTGCGCCACTCCAGAGCACAGCTGAGCTTCAGAACAGTCTGTTGCTTGATGTCGCCTGTAGGATTGGCGGGTCTATCCACGTGAGATCAAGGCAGAGCTGTAGCGCCGGCGACCAATGACTGAGCTCGGTAAAGTCATCCCAAATTACGGGGGAAAAATCGCCTGGTGCGGTTGCTCTCCGTTTCTGCGCCTTTCGACGGCCGGCAAAGGCGAACAATCCAAATAGACCAAGACGGGAAGACAAGGTTATGGCAAGTCTAGAGGCCGGCTTGTAGTATCGCAGCCTGCCAGCGCAGCTTCCCGCCAGAACTCTCTTAGTGGCTCCCAGTCGCCAAATTCTGGAGTCAGCACAGTCTCTGCTAGTTGCCCAGGCCACAACAACCTCGAGGAACGGACGAACAGATCACGCCAATGCTCTGCAACACAGTATCAAAGAGGAAGCTTCCTCGGCAACAGATTGTGTATGAGCCGACACAAAGGTGTCTAAGCAGTGTTGCCTTAGAAAGCGCACAACACTCGCTACACGTGTGAGCTCAAAAGGTAGACGAAGCACAATGCACAAAGCCCCTAAACTCTGAACCCTAAACCCTCAACCCGAAACCCCTAAACCCTAAACCCTGAATCCTATGCCCTCCACATCGAACCCCGAACTGCAGACGGGCTACACTTCACGATCCTGCTTCTCCCTCCTCCGAGTCGGAGCTTGCATCATAGTCACTCCTGAGGGTTTAGGATCTATATAGGGGTTTAGGGCTTTGAAGTTTAGGGTAGGGCTTAAGGCTTTTGAAGTTTAGGTTTTGGGGTTTAGGGTAGCCCTGGGCAAGAGAGTCCGTCGTGATCCAGAGAACGAAAGGAAGGGAATGTGATTACAACTGGGCTGGTGTGGCATGTTTGGCACAGGCAGTATGTCGCTTCTATGCCGGATGCTGAGAGCAGATAATGCTTGTCTGCCGTCAGGCAAGATTGCAAGTACGAAGTGCACATAAGCCTTGTGATTCAACACCTTGCTGGCCCCGTAAATAGTTCCTGCTTCCTGCTTAGGTATTCTATACCCAAATAAGCCCACAGCCCACTCTAACTACTACGGCCGCTGTACTACTCCACATTGGACTCATGGCACGCCCCGAAACAATGCACTTCAGGCACGAACCAACAAACAAATGAAAACGGTCTCACCCAAAGCAATGAGACGAACAACTATGCGGCCCAAACCCGGGCCTGCCAACATTGAAACCCCGAGTCTGTATTCCCCTAAGGGTCAAATTAACAAAATATAGCATATGCTTTGGCCTTAAAGCACTCCCTACATAGGTACACTTGGGCCCAGCTGATCCTAAACCCTAAAACCTAAACCCTAAATCCTAAACCCTAAACCCTATGCCTTTTTTCTGCAATCCGTCAACTCATCCGCCCCCCGAATCCCCAAGGCTGAGCCAATCTGAAGCAAAAACGACTCTAGGTTTAGCGGTTTTTAGGTTTGTAGGATTAAGTGTGTATATATTATATGATACCATTTCATACTATTATATGTACTATTATTATATATAGATAGATAGATGGATAGATAAATACATATATATATATATACATATATATATATAGATACATATAGATACATACATATTTTCTATGTATACATATATACATAGATATGTATCTGCGTCGATGTGTATATGTGTGTGTGTGTGCGGACGGTTTAACGGAGCCCCTGGGCTCCCGCTCAGGTCCGAGTCGGGACGGGCGCGGACGCGCGAGGCCAGGTCTTGCCAGTGCTTGTCCAAGGAGGCCGAGGTGCCTCAGCAAACCCAAAGTAGGGTTTAGGGTTCCTATAAAGGGATCTATAAGGGTACCTTTAAGGGTTCCTTTAAGGCCTTAAGGGGATCTGTAGGGTGTGGTTGATGACATAAATCCTGCATTACCTCAATGATCCTAGACTATGGGAAATTATGGTGTACTCCTTACTGTGGATAACGCAGGATCTATATCATCAACAGACAGTAGGTACTATTATGGGAAGAATTCCCTAAAGCATAATGGTAATTCCTAATAATCCTAGTATATGAACCCTACATTCTGCTATATAGGTACTGAGAACCCTTTAGGAAAACTGTTGGGATGTAGGCTGCTGGGTTTAGGTGGATGGAGCAATGTCCCCGGATCCTCTTGACGTCTTCGAATCGCTAAGAGTCTCAGTGTTTTCCAGCAGCCGGGTGAGACAGGGCATCGTTGTGTTGACTGGGTCCCTTCTGGTGGGATCAGTTGATTTGGACTTTGCAAGACCAGCGATTCGGGGAGTGAACCACGCCGAAGAACATAAATACACTGTCGCCTTGCGAGCGACGAGCAGGTGCATTGGCAAAGGATAAACAAACGGCCGCGCCTGTAAACGCGAAAACCCTGCCATGCTTGAACTCGGACAACTACAAGTCTCTCATGCCTACATATCACGAAGCACAAAACAACGCCCGCCACGGGTAAGCCAAGTTGCGGCGCTTGTTACCGCAAATGTAGGCGTGGCAGTGGCTCCTTGCGACTACTCAGATAGTTGCATACAGGGGCCAACACTCAAGAAGTGTTCAGCATCAGCGAGACATGAGAGTCAAAAGGATGTGTTGGACTTGCTAGCGACGAAGATCAGCTCGCTCAACACTTTAGAAGGCCCTATAATGAAACCCTGACACTACGCCCAAGCTTGACAGCAGCCTTCAAACCCTCAGCTGAACATGTCATAACAGCGAACTTTCAATCGCTAAACTGCTTCAAACATAAACCTCAATTCAATCCCTGATCCTGAACCGTTATGCAAAGCCAGTGCCACGCCGAGACCCCAGCACTGTTGCTATGAATCCGAAACCCAAACCCTGACCCGAGCCGCAAAACCTTAAAGCACCCCAAAACCCAAACCCTGAACCCGCAACCCTAAACCCTAAATCCCTAAATCCCTAAACCCTGAAACCCTAAACAAATAAACCCTAAACCCCAAAAACCCTGAAACCCTGAACCCCTAAAACCCGAACCCCTAAACCCTAAATCTCTAGACCCTAAACCCCTAAAACCCCAAAACCCCTAAACCCCACAGAGCTCCAAAGCCCAGGCAGAGCCGGCCTACCGGGTCTGCCCGAAGTCTCGGCCCGGGGTTTGTCGATGGGCACGGCCTGCGCTTTTCAAAGCGGAAAAGGAGGGACCCTTAGTGGGGACCCCTACCCTATAATGGGCTATATCATGGGTATATAATAGCTATATTAAGGGTATACACCTAGGGGTCCTTATTAAGGGTCCCTCCTTGTACCCTTGGAGCTAGGAGTACGGCTTTCGGTGTAGCTTAGGGCCTTTAGGGCCTTTAGGGTTTCAGAGTTTAGCGGGCTTTTCGGGTTTAGTTGTGTATTGAGGCAGGGGTCTGCTGTCAGTGGGCTTAGGGAGAGCGGGCTTCGTTGGTTTAGGGTTGAGGCGGCTTTCGAGTTCATGGGGGTGTAGGGGCTTACGAGCCGGACGCAGCAGAACAAAACTGCGTAAGACCACACTATGTGTGTAGTTAAACCGCACCCCCATTCTTCTGTATCCTGACCTTATTCTGGTGCATCGATGCGATGCGAATCGATGACCGACTGATGCAGCAAAATGCCAGATTCGCGACACGTCGCTGCTTGAAGTAAGAGGAGTTCGGTGTGAGCGATTGGCGAATTAAGCCGAATGCCCGGACCTGACAACCCAACGAGAACACGTGGACCTCAACCCACAGTTGAGAGGCTACTGCATAATATAGTATCCCCAAAGGTGCCAAGAAGCCTTCAGCCCTGAAACGAATGCAGGCAGTGGGGCCATGGAGGCTTTGGAACACCCGTGTTTCCAGGCAGCAGCTCTGCTGAGGACTCTAACAGTCATGAGACCGAAAACATGCTGTTTTGAGTCTGTATAATAAACATCCCAACAGGAGTGTTGAGGACTTGCAGCGTGAATCAAGGTTCAGGATTTATGCAATGACCCACACACAGGGGACGTACAGAGTCCTGTAACGTGGAGTTGAACCGCTGCCTGCACTGTCCAACGAAAGGCGCGGTGCTGGAGCCACGGAAGCACCTGCTTTGCAGGGCTTGTCCTGGTTCGGTTCAACCTTTCATTCGCCAACTGCCTCTGCAAGTGTGCGCACACTCTGAACCCAAAAGCCAAAACCCGAAACCCTAAACCAAACTCTAAAACCCTAAACCCTAAACCTCTAAACCCCTAGAGCGCAATCCCACAAGCGGCGGACCGCGGCTGGGCGGTGCATGCTGATGGAGATGAAGGCTCCACCAACCGAGGTGACTCGATAGGCCTCCTGCTGGGGTTTAGGGTTTAGGTTTAGGGTTTAGGATTTAGGATTTAGGGTATAGGGTTTAAAGTGCTCATGCAGTCTTTGATTGCAGTACTCATTTCGGCCAAAGGGTGCTGCTGCACGTGCGACAGAAAGGAGCTTACATCGGAAATTCGGATTTGCCGGGGTATCCAGAAAACCGACAGGCAGCCGAAACTGTTTGTACCGTTCGGAAGTTCTTTGCTGAAGGCCACTCAACCATCGAAGTCTCAACAAAGCCCTCCTTCACGAACTCAGCGATGGCCAGCGCATGCTGATCGTTGCAGAAGAAAGCATCCAAGGTACTCTTGTCCACCACCAAGGGGAAAGATTCCTTCGAAGTGGTGGAGGGCTGTTTCAAGGAACCGAAGAGGTCACGGAACATCCACAACTCCACCAGTGATTCGAGCACGGGGTTTGCACCATCCCTTCATCATGGCTCCAGTTGCAACTTGACGCAGGCTCAAGGGCAAAGCGACTCCTACAAGCTGTGACGAATCATCTGCCCCCAGCTTCAGGAATGTAAAGGCTTCTGGATGATGCCGTGCTCTCTGCCAGGGCTCGCTGGGAATGTCCACCATGTTGCGGCAGTCGGTGGCCTGCCACTGAATTCCAGGCCGACTGGTCCGGTTTCTCCTTGGTACACAATGGGAATTTGGAGGAGTTGGCGAAGACCCGATTCGAAAAGTTGGAGAAAGGAGGGTGCCGAACTTGCAATTGCTACCGCTATTGCTTCTCCTGCTGCTGCTGTTGCTGTTGCTGCTGCAACGGCGACGATGACGACGGGTGATGAGGACCACAGCTGGAGACAGCCACTGCGCTGGCGACAACGACGACGGCGACTCCAGCCATGCAGAGGACGAGGAGGAGGAGGACGACGAGGGCGATTAGCCGATTAGGGCTCCTGCTCTCTGACACTAGATCACAACGTCTTGTAATTAGTTGTCATCGTCGTTACCGCCATCTTGACGGCGCAGCAACAGCATATGGAGCAGTGGCACCAATTAGCAGCAGCAGAAGCAGCAAGAGCCGCCGCCACTGCAGCAGCAGCAGCAGCAGCACTTGGGCAATTTTCATATGCGCCTTTGATGCCTTTGAAGCTCCTGCGGTGCCCTCTTCTTGCTTGCCCTTCTAAGAACCAGATATGTCAAGACAAGCTTCTCCGACATCTGCTTCATGGCTACCTCGGAGATGTCCACGGCAGTTTGACGCAAGTATCCTGCCTCGGGTCCGAGCAGATTCATGCAAGGGGTCCCAGAACTAAACTGCTACTACTACTACTACTACTACTACTACTACTACTACTACTACTACTACTACTACTACTACTACTACTACTACTATTCTACTACTACTACTACTACTACTACTACTACTACTACTACTACTACTACTACTACTACTACTACTACTACTACTACTACTACTACTACTACTACTACTACTACTACTACTACTACTACTGCTACTAGTACTACTACTACTACTACTACTACTACTACTACTACTACTACTACTACTACTACTCCTACTGCTACTGCTACTGCTAATGCTACTGCTACTGCTACTGCTACTGCTACTGCTACTGCTACTGCTACTGCTACTGCTACTGCTACTGCTACTGCTACTGCTACTGCTACTGCTACTGCTACTGCTACTGCTACTGCTACTGCTACTGCTACTGCTGCTACTACCACTACTACCACCACTACTACTAAGCCTTCAGGCAAATAGACTCGTCCAATATCTTCTAATCGACATGACATGTTGCTTACCGACATTGCTGCTGACTTGGTCATCGGACCCTGTGACCACGAAATACAGACACTGCAATAGCAGTCCAACGCCAGGTCCAAAACTTGCAAACTCGGCTCGGGAAACTCAAACATTGGCTTGGGCCTTGGAAACAGGCCCCCATATTATAGAACCCTACTATTGATCCGTTTTCTGGATCCCTTTTTAGAAAGGCCCCTATATTTAGCCAGTACCATCTCAGCTGGCAGATAGCAGAGCTTAACGGAGCTGGGTAATCCCCGAAGTTTGGAGCTCCACAGATGCCTCACATCCCCAGAGCCTTCCGACCTTCTGGCCCGGCAACCCTGAAAACCCATCAAAACTCTATCTCTGCCAGCCGACGTCGTACATATCCTCCGGAAGGGGCGAGTTTCCCGTGCCCAGGTGCCTTGCTTCGCACTGAAGTGGCAGGAACTAAAGTTAGAAGCCTCTTTGAGGCTGGAAGGGTGTGTAACTGCGGGTGCATAGAGGCTGTTGAGTCCCTTCGGATACTGATTTTTCAACCTCGTTCCAAAACAGAAAGATGCCCTGAAAGACATCCCTCAAAGCCAAACCCGAAATGCTGACTGACCGTGTCAGACCCCCTGTGAAACACCAACTTCAACCCAAAACCCTCAAGTTTACAACACCCAAACCCGATACCCCAAAACCCCGAAACTCCCACCAAATCCTGAAAACCCCTGAAACTCCGCAAGCCCAAAGTCCTATCGGAAGCGCAACGACACCCCCGTTGCCAAGGCACAGCACCGCCCGCTGGCGGTCAAAGCCCATTAGCGGCTCTAACAGCCACCTCGCTTCGGGGGTGCTTTGGGGTTTAGCGCAGTTCTTGGGTTTGGGGCTGAGATTGTTTTGGTGTTAGGGGCTTATTACAAACCTCAGGGCAGGGTTTCGGGATTGCAGCGTTTGCTTGGGCATTTACACAATTTGCGTTAAGGTTGGGGTTTTATAAGGGTAAAGTTTGCGGATTTGGGTTTACTGTGTTACGGGTTTGGGCGGTCGGCACATTATTGCGAGCGTGTAGTGTCAAGATTGCTCGCAGTTTTACAGAGGCTGACGTCTATCGTTCTTGTCAGGACACATGTGTTGGATTCACTGCGCATACGCCGAAATTGACAGCTTTGGGGTTTGGGAGCCAGGAGTGGCGCGGACATCCTGAGACTCTCTGTCAAATTTTGTGGGTGAGGTGTGAGGTTGAGGCTTCAGTTCAGGATCTACAGCCTAGACGATTTCAAGAGACGCGAAATGGTGTCCGTCTTAGATTGAATTTATGTACTACCAAGACCACCACCACTACCACCACCACGACTCCAAAGTCCACTACGCCGACGACATTGGCTATGACTGTGACTATGATCACTGCTGCTCCTGCTGCCGCTTGCTGTTGCTGCTGCTGCGGCTTGCTGCGGCTTGCTGCTGCTTGCTGCTGCTTGCTGCTGCTTGCTGCTGCTTGCTGCTGCTTGCCGCTGCTTGCTGCTGCTTGCTGCTGCTTGCTAGTATACAACAACGACTACTACGACGGCGACTGCACTGACTCGACGACAACAAGGATGACGTTTTGAGCATGTTGTTGATGATGCTGAATTATGCGATGGTGGCGATGGCAGGTTGTGTTGCAGGTCATCGCGATCATGATAGGGATGATGGCGCTGGTGATGATGTGATGATGATGACGACGAGGACGAGGATGAGCATGCTGATGCCGATGTTGATGCTGATGACGCTGATGACGCTGATGGTGATGCTGACGCTGATGATGATGGTGATGATGAGGAAGATGGCAAGCTCTCGAAGACGACTGCAACGATGCTTTAAAACAAGGCGCCGAATCACTAGGGTTTACAGTTTGGGTCTAAGTTACGGTGGTTTCGGGTGTACATTTGCGGGTTCCGAAGGTCAAGCACCAAATTCTTCTGCCGCGGCACCGAAGCTCTGTCCAGCCGACCAACCAATCCTCAGCCAAAGTGATCTGAAGCCCGAGGATTTAAAGGCCGTACAAGGTTTCGGAGAGAGTTGGCTAAAACCCTCAACCTTACACTCTGGCTTGAACCCTAAGACCCCAATCCCCAACACAATCTTTTTTCGGACTCCCGTGGCATCGCACAGCGGGGTGCAAAGGAGTATCGACTCTCCGCTCGACCCTCTCGGATCTGAAAGACAGAAAAACCAATGTACCTCCACCACAGCGTCCTGGGTTTTTTAGGGTTCAGGGTTTTTGTGGTTTTGGGGTTTGGGGTCTAGGGCCTATAGGGTTTACGAGTTTAGGGTTTTGAACCCGCAGACCCTAAACTCGCAAGAAAAAAATCCAACTCCCACACAAGTCCTCAAGTGCCAAGACCGAAACCCAGGCGCGTAGACGTCCTCGCCTTCCTCCGCCGCCTTCTCGTAGTGGGTCTCCCAGTAGTGGCCTTCGCCGAACCTTGGTTCAGGGCTTGCTTTGCAGGATATGGGGTCTACGGTTTGGGTGCTCACGCTTTCGGGCTTGCGGTTTGAAGGCGTGGGTCGCAACAGCAGCATCATGCATCTCCTCAACACAAAGATACATTCACCTCCAACGGCTTGGAGAAACACCACGATCATGGCAGGAGCAATGTCTTTTACCGCTTTATCAAGTGTGCACGAAGGGAAATGCGGGCTGGTCGCTCCGGAAGCTCTTCTGAAGCTTCTTCGGCAGCCATGTCAACGGGCAATTTTCATCAAAATGCGCGACGAGCTCAGCGTTCCGCTTGGTTTAACAGGCAACACTTTCAATATGTCCCTGCCAGATTCGTGTTCCCGACCATGGTTCATCCGCTGGGAGCCTAAAGGGCTGCAGGGGCTGGGTCACCAACGAAGCACGACAGACATGCCTAAAACCCCCTAAAAATTCACACACTGTGGTCTTGGAGATTCCGGACTGCCACATCTACCAATGGCTTGAGACTGCGGATTTAGGGTTCGGGTTTAGGCTTCTCTGGAATGTTCACCGGAGATGTTTCAAAGATGCTCTGGCAAGTGCGCCCATACCGAAGCTTCTACCGAAGTTACCGGAAACCTCGCATCGGCCAGTTGTTTTCGCGCCTATCGACTTCCAGCATGGCGGTCATCTCAGGTGAGTCCAAATGTCCCAAAGCCCCGGGGAGATTCCCGAAAGCCGGGGCAAGTCAATCAGACTTCGGTACGTCTCAGAAACCTCTGAGAACCAAGGGATCTTTTGTGAGCGGCGAAAGGCGTCCGAAAGGAGCGAAGAGCCTCACAGCTTCTCGGACTTTATAGGCTTTGCTAGGGGGTATTACTGGGTGGTATGTCGGGGCGTTCACTTACAGATATTCTGACAAAATCAGACACTCCTGAACAGAGGGCAGTGTAGTGTTGCTCCGAAACCCTAACCCCTGGCAAACTGGTAGCTGAAAAAGAAAACGGGCAACAGGCCACTACAGGGGGACCTAGCCCAACTGCTCATGAAGGGACGCAGAGATTTTGAGAGCATTGGCCTGGTTCGCGTTGAAGGCATCTGGGACGAAGCTTACCTCAGCCATGGGAGTAGCCCTGGTGGATGTCAGCCGAACCTGGGAGGAATAAGGCTTTGGGCCAGTTGTAGTTCTGTTTATGTCGGGACTGTCAGGGGGTACGGTTACTGACTATTTAGACTCCTCAATCGCTTCCGTTTCGATTGCTTCTTGTCTGTGCAGGGTCTCTCTCAATTCTTAACACTGAGATTTCGAGCATTCCCGATTATCGAGCGTTATCTTTCCGTGGAAACCTCCTTCAAAAAAACCAAACCCAAAACCCTACTGCAGAGGCCTTAATGATGAGAATAGGGCTTTGGGGCCCAGTCTACTATGGTTATAATAATAAGGCCCCCCAAATCCCCAAAATAGTATTGGTAGTTATCTAGGCCCCTATATTATATACCCCACATCGAAATCTCACCTTGCACTCATGTGGGGACTCTTAGACGATTCTTCGAGACTACCGAGCCGAGTTGCCAGTTCAGAGTCTCGGATCGACAGGTACGATGGATGGACAAAAATCCTGCATGACCGTAGGCACAGAAGAAGTATGGTAATTCCAATAGTTTTGGGCCATAAGAAGCATAGTTTTGGGATATAGGGTCACGCAAGCTTTTGTCCATCGGCAGTATGGATGAAGTAGTAGGCCCTAGGGTTCAAGCGTTTCGGGGTTCAGGGTTTCTGGGTTCCCAGCCCCCTCTGAACTCTGATTTCGACCCTAAACCTTGACATCCAGAGCTCAGAGCTCTGCCCTGAAGTGTAAAGCCCACATACTACCGTTATATGGTAGTATTATGATAGTATTATCGTAGTTATATGGTAGTAGTATGATAGTAATATGGTAGTTATATGGTAGTAATAGTAGGTTATAATCGTAGTTCATTGCCGGGATAGGATTAACATAATGTACATGTTTAGTCCTTATGGGGTTTAAGTACCCATAAAATTGTAAAATGCTACCGAACTATGACAAAGGATACTCCGAGACCCTACCCTGAACCCTACAAGCCTGAACACCACACTTACTCACCTGACCCGAAACCACGAAACCCCCAATCCCCAAACCCCTGAAGCTTAAACCTCTCAACTTAACTCCCCAAGCAATGCCTAAACCCCTGAAGCCTAAACCATAAAACCCCTAAACCCTAAACCCCAAACATCTCAACCCCAAACCGGAAAACCCTTACACCACCGAAAAACGAAACCCGAAACACTTAAACCCCTGAAGCCTAAACCACCAAACCCCTAATCCCTAAACACCTCCGACAAACCCTTCAAACCCTAAACCACCCACCCCTATACAAACCCTCTTCTCGAGCCCAGGAGCCCCAGAGGGCAGGCGGGAGGGGCAGCTGTCCAGGACCAGGCCAAGTCTTCCGGTGATGGGTTTAGGGGTTTCGAGGGTTTTCAAGTTTAGGGTTTTTTGGGGTTTTAAAGTTTAGGGTTTAGGGTTATGGGTCTGAGGTTTAGGGTGTAGGGTTATGGGTCTAAGGTTTAGGGTTTAAGGTGTTGGGTTATGGGTCTGAGGTCTAGGGTTTAGGGTTATAGATTTAAGGTTTAGGGTGGTAAGTTTAAGGTTTAGGGTTATGAGTTTCGGGTGGGGCCTTACATGATGTCTTACTCGTGGAGTCTTATATTCCCGGAGTTTTAAGTTTAGATTCGAGGCTTTGCGGTTTACGGTTCAGGGTTCGGGCTTCGGGCTTTCGGTTTAAGGTTTAATTAGGGCTGTCGAGTTCATGTAATTTAGGGGCCTTAATAATTAAGAATAGGTTTTTTGGGTATATTATGTTATACTATATAAGTATGATAAAGACCCCACAAAATAGAACAGGTAATTATTAAGGCTCGTATACTAAGGGTGTGCGGGCCTAGGGTGCAGGGCTTCAAGCTTAGCCCAAGAGCCTCCTCAAGGGGTTCCTCCGCCAGCGCTGGGACTGCCAGATGCCAAGAGAAAGGCCTCGATAGAAAAGAGGGCATGAGGATGGATACCGCAAATCTTGCCCGCTCGACGAGTGCCCGAGCTTTCTAGCGTTTTGCGTTCAGCGTTTCGGAGTTTGGGTTTAGGCTAGCTGCGAACTCGAAGAGGCAGGGAATTAAGATAAATTTGGGAAAGGGTAAGTTGATCATGACAACCAGAACGTTCGTTCACTGCTCGCATACTATAGGGGCCTAAATATTTACCAAACACTACTGTGGGGGGTTCCTTATTATGTATGGAAAGACGTGGACTCAATGGCGCCTTGGATGTTAATCCCAAACCACCTTCGAGCGTTCAATCCAGAAACATCACTTAGCCCTCGACCCGAGCACTGAACCCCCAAAATCCTGAACTCAAAGCCGTGAATTGTCCTAAACCCTAAACCCCAAACACTAAACCCTAAACCCCAAAACCCTAAACCCCAAACCCTAAACCTCCCCACTAAAGCACAAAGGAACATCCCCTTTGACAAGGCCTTCTCCCGTGGTCAGGGCTGCATCCGAAGCCGAAGCCGGCCCCTTTAGCCGCACCTTTGGGTGGAGAAGAGCGAGGGGTTGCGGGTTTAAGGGTTTACGAGGGTTATAGGCGTTTAAGGGTTTATAAGGGGTTAGGGGCTTAGGCGTTTATAAAGGGTTAGGGGTTTAGGGGTTTATAAGGGTTTGGGGGCTTAAGGGATTATAAGGGGTTGGGGATTTAAGGGTTTATGAGGAGTTAGGGGTTTAAAGTTTAAGTGTTTATGAGGGGTTAGGGGTTTAGGGGTTTATGAGGGCTTTATATAGGGTTTAAACTTCAAGAGAAGCATAGCGTTTAGGGTTTAGGACGGTCCGAGATTCAGGGTTTGAGGGAACCGTACAAAATACAAGTATCCACGAGTGTTGTGGAGTTCCGAAACCCCCCTTTGAGCGCAGTAATTAAGGAGTGAGGTTGCGGGAATTGTGCCGCACTTACCTTTGGCGGCCTATCCCTACATGAAAGGGTGCAGTCAAAGATCGCTGGATTCGTTGGATGCGTCACAACAGTTTTGGATATATCATACTGATACTAGAAGCCTATGTTATAAGGACATAAGGATATTGAGAAACCCTGGTTTGGAGCTTTTGGGCTGGGCTTATGGTTTAGGGAGTTTAAGGTTAAACGCTTCTGGGTTTGGGGTTTAGGCTTAGGAGTTTAGGGCTCGGGCGGCTAGGGTTTATGGTTTAGTTTTGGGCTTCTGGCGTCTGGACCTGCTGAGTCTGCTGGGGCTAGCCCTTCATTCCCAGCTCGGTAATTAAGCCCGGTGGCTTTGCTGCCGCAACCGGGCCGGACCTAGATTACCGAGCTAGCTCGGTAATCAAGCCCGGCGGCTCTGCTGCCGCAAGCGGGCCGGACCTTAATTACCGAGCTAGCTCGGTAATTAAGCCCGGTGGCTCTGCTGCCGCAACCGGACCGAACCTTAATTACCGAGCTCGGTAATTAAGCCGGGTGGCTCTGCTGCCGGGCCGGACCTCAATTTCCGAGCTAGCGCGGCAATTAAACCCTGCGGCCCGACAACTACCATTGAGTCACTGTTTCTGCTAATTCCCGAGCCTGGGGGCTTAATTACCGAGCTCCGGGCTGTGCCGGTCAATCCCAATTCCCGGGCCTTCGGGCTTAATTACCGAGCTCCGGGCTTAATTGCTGCACTCCCTTCGGTAATTAAGGATTTTGCAGCAGATTTCAAGCCATAAAGTAGCGCCGAACCCCTGGATTCGGGGGTTCGGCGCTACTTTATGGCTTGAAATCTGCTGCAAAATCCTTAATTACCGAAGGGAGTGCAGCAATTAAGCCCGGAGCTCGGTAATTAAGCCCGTAGGCCCGGGAATTAGCAAAACCGGTTGCTCAATGGTAGTTGTCGGGCCGCCGGGCTTAATTACCGAGCTAGCTCGGTAATTAAGGTCCGGCCCGGTTGCGGCAGCAGAGCCACCCGGCTTAATTACCGAGCTAGCTCGGTAATTAAGGTTCGGTCCGGTTGCGGCAGCAGAGCCACCCGGCTTAATTACCGAGCTAGCTCGGTAATTAAGGTCCGGCCGGTTGCGGCAGCAGAGCCACCGGGCTTAATTACCGAGCTAGCTCGGTAATTAAGGTTCGGTCTGGTTGTGGAAGCAGAGCCACTGGGCTTAATTATCGAGCTAGGTATGAAGGGAAGGCTAGCCCCAGCAGACTCAGCAGGTCCAGAAGCCAGAAGCCCGAA